AGAAAATTGCAACCAGAAAACTATTTGATTTGTATTCGTGATATTTATAATGACGAGGAATTTGATTTAAATCGTATAAAGACGGAGTACATCGAAATTAAATACTACATTTAGTAAGGAATTATAAGCCAAATAAAATAAAAACATCTGCCCTGAAGATAACGATAGTGTTGACAGATCAACTTCCAGTTCATTGCGCGCCGCGACGTCCCCCCCCCCCCCGCGCGCAGAGCAGCGTGAAATTGATAAACAGATTTCGGAACGGTTAGATAAACAAAGGATATGCTTTTATCCATTTTTTGTAGCAATTCGTTTTTGTTTGATGGACATTGAAACATACTTTCGTTTTCTAGATCCTTTGGGAGCTCCAGCATCGGAAATTCTATTTGACATAATCGAAAGTTCAAGCTTACTTTTAGAAAATTGCTCTTACAGTCTGCAAAAAATAAAAAGCCGGATCCAATTCGAAGATTAAGGAACAACGCAATTATCAACATTAACTGAAATAGATAATTAGATAATTTTAGCTTATACCGTTCGTTATACATTAAACGCGCACTCGAAAACGTATTCTGCACTTGCGCAGACGCATATGCGCAGTCGTAAATGTCTTGTGCGCACGAGTAAAACGCCTATGCGCATGCGTCAATGCGGCGCATGCGCAGAAAGATTTTAGCTTTGAGGTCCGGATTATAGATCATTCCGGATTACGGGTGTCCGAATTAACGACTTTTGACTGTATAACATTCACACGTAAACATTTAGTAATAATTCAGGAGTACAGATAAGCTTTAAAATAATAATTACAACTGTTACAGGCAGCTACGCTTTTAGCGACCAAATTCTACGAACGACAAATCTCAAAAGCGTGTTGCCAACGCAGGGCAATGTAAAGGTGGAAATTAATTCGATAGGCGTGGAAATGAGCACCATCTCTTTGGTGATAATTGACTAGACATAGAAAGTTAAAATATTGTATTTTTGGACACTGCTAAGTTATGAGACTGTTTTTTAGAAGATGGATATTCATGCATTATATTTAAAGAAATTCATCTAGAAGCCCAACTTTGAAATTTGGAATTAATTTTATTATCTGTTTCATATTTTGTCAAACATTAAATAATTTTTGATTGACAAACTCAACGATTTCAAAGCGAGCAATGGCAACACTGAACCCCCCCCCCCCCCCGAAAAAGAAATTATCTCCAGCATGCGAGATTGTGTATCAGAAATTCTAAAGATATGCTCTTTTAAATATTTTGTGATATTGCTGTTGAATTGAATTTTATGGTTTAAGTGCGAAAAACATATTTAATAAGTAAAGGTAACACACAAAATGTTTGAAAGCACCCCTTTGGGTGTAATGTAAAATCTGAAAACTTTACATCTTTTTCTTTTTCTTTCATTTTTTCCCTTTTTTAATTCAATTTAAAAATTTATTGTGCTTTTAAAATGTTATTAGTTTGTGAGACCATATTTTGAAATCGAACATATATGTTTTTAATAAAGCTTTTTATGCATACAAACAGGTTATATACTTTAAATGTCCTGCTCATGGAACAGTTATGCATATTTACAATACAAATATAACTATAAAAAATGTGCATGATGCATGGTCTGTCTTATATTATACAAGAAAAAAGAAAGTAAATCAGTAAAGCGAAAAGTAATTCTTGTAAAAAGAAATCAAACTTTTTTCTTTCTAAAATTGGTGTTATTTAAAATGTAAAGCTTGATTAAATATTATTGAATTTCATGTTAAAATTTATCTGAAATCATATAATCATTACTGTGCCATCATTGCATTAGAATGCCTAGGACCCTTAATAATTTCATGACATTCTCAAGTAAATTTTTACCAGTATTCAAAAGAAATATCATTTTACATTTTTAAGAACACCCACTTTCAAATGCCATTGGATTTTCATGGGAATCATATGTTCTCAGGTCCTATAGCCTCTGCGCCAGAAAGCCATGGATAGCTTTCATCATTTTCCATAGCCACCTTAGGTATTTTGTTAACTATTGGCTGTTGGCTGTAAGAAAAATTTTCCAATGCCTGCTTTAATTTAACTTTTAATGGTATTTTTTAGTTCATGTTCTTGGAAGTATTCTTGCGATATCTGAAAGAATTATAAGGCTATGCTGCTGTGAATGCTGCAAATCTTGTCTAGCATTTCCCTGTTATGAATAATATCATTGTCTGAATTCTTTTCAGGTTATTAATGTATAAAGTCCTAAAAATTTATGCTTGGAATTATCTTATAGCACATGAAATCTGTGTCCCTAATGAAAGGTATATTTTCTTAGAGGAGTTTCTAAGGAAATGGGATTACATTCATGCTAAACATAGGAATTTTTGTATTTTAAAATGTAGGTGCATCAACAAGTTTAGAGATTAATAATCAAGCATGCAGATGGGACACACCTAAAATAATACAAAACTTCTTAAAATTAAAGCAATAAATGTTATAATATAAATGTAATAATGTAAATGTAAGCAATAAATTTTAATATATTTTATAGTTTTGAAAAGCAAAAAAATCATTTTTAAGAAACCTAAATTTAGTTGTCATTTTAATTTTAATGATATTTTTTAGTTTTTGTCTTGAATACAATATAAATTTATTTTAAGGTCATTTGCTTGTTTGAATTCAAAATGTTTAAAAGAAGTGAAGTGCTAAGATTGATCTATAATTATATTAATCACTATTATTACCCAAAAAAAAATTATTTAAGTTCAAGATTATTTTGAAGTGAAATATCTTTTATCTTTTTATTTATTAATTAGATACAATTAGTTATTTAGTAATTAGATGTCATACAGAACATTCTGGCATTTCCCCCTCTTTTATAATGGCCTTACCAATGGCTAGGAGATTAAGATCACTGAAAACTGCTAGTTAGACCACATGAAGAAATGGGCTTAATGCATTGTTTTCACTATGTGTATCATAAATATAACCGAGTTTCCCTTAGAAAGACCTCCATGAAGGCATTCCTCTCCTTAAGCTGATAGCCCTCGTGTGCCTTGCTATATTCACATAACCCTATACTATGATACCTATCACCCTAAATTAAGATAGATTTCTAAACGAGATTTTAAATGAGTCTGTGGACCCCCAGTGATTGATAGCTAAAATTTTTTAGCACTGGTTGTTCGACATACAGGCTCAAATCCTGCCAAACGAGTTGGTTGCATGGAAGTTTTCTTGGCATTTTTACATGTGCTGTATGCCTCTTAGCTTCCTCCTCTTGAGCAGATAACACTTGCGTGGCTTGCAATAATCCAAATCTATTAAATCTGTCTGTATTGAATACAATTATAACTCTTTTTAAAGAAATCTTAAGGTTAAAAATATGTAAATATCAAATTGCATGCGATTACAAATATTTTTAAGCAATTAACATATTTAACTGTCAAAATCTTATAGTACACTGACAAATGATTGAAAACTAGATAAAAAAGCAACTTTAAATTGACTTAAAACTCTACTGATTTTGAGAGCGATCTAACACAAATCCCTTTCCTTAAGGAGCTAAAACATAATGAGTTGTTACAGCATTTATTAGGTTAATTTATAATAGCATACTCAACCTTTTGTTTTCATAACCTTCTAGTCATCAGAATGCTGATAAGATTGTTAAGTGGTGGTGAGGTAAAAAATTATTTTTAATAAGATAATTTTTCTGAAATTCCAGCAGCTCTCAGAAGTGAGTATAAGTAGATATATAACTCGAATAATTAAAAAATACTTCTGACTTCTCTCAAACAGACCAATATTTATGTATAGAAATAGCAAATGTTTAGTTCACTTATGGTATTTATTACTATGAGCAGAAAGTTGTTGAAAGATTTTTAAACTGTTTCTTTATAAGCTATCAAGTTCAAATTTTGTACATAACACTGATTGGGGACAATAATACTGTTTGCAAAATACCATTTAGAATTTTTAAAATTTACTACTAAAACAATGTTTTGCACATATTTTCATTTAAAATCATTAAAAAAAGACAAAAGATCTCGAAAATTTAACATTTGAACGATTGTATGGAGCATAAAATATTCTCCTAATTAAAATTAATGTGCAATTTCTGATTTTGGGGCTAATTTTTGAAAGTCAAGATATTTTTGACTATTTGAAGGAAGGGACAATTGAAAGTAAAAGACTGATTATTTTTTGTTGGAAAATGATTTTTAAATTAAATAATTTGATTGAAAACTGATTTTTCAATTAAGTAATTTGATTGAAAAATATTAAGACTAAGAAGATGAAAATTTTAAAAACGTTTTTATAAAATAAGCTCTTATTCAAGTGATATAAATTTCTAGATGAATTTTGTAAAAAGACTTCTTGCCATTAATCTATATGATAAATTGTTTTCTTCTTTTACTTTATTAATGATTTCATGAATGTAAATTAAAAGCTTATTTTATAAAAAAACCTCCCCCCTTTAAGTTTCAAAAAATTTTACTATATCTACATATTGAAATGAATCTTTCTACTCTACATCTAATCAAAATTATACAATGTGCTTTATTTATAATAAATAGTATGATATTTATTTTTAATTAATTTTTAATGAGTAATCATAATTATATATATATATATATAAACTTTTTTTAATAAAAAAGTTCTATTTAAAGGTTTTTAATGGCTAGAATTTTCTGTTATACATTCAGCAACTGGAAGTAATTTATTTATGCAATCCCAGTTATTATTAAATCTGAAAGCTCACATGTATGATAAAAAGTTTTAAGAAGTAATGGTACTTTATTGTGTTAATGTGCTTTGATTTACAAATGTGTGTTTTTAGGTAAAATTTAGCAATGAAATTTTTACACAGAAATGAGTGTAAATGTATAAAATGTATTTTTGCAGGGTTTCTGTATAGCCTAATCTAACTATAATGGTTTTTCCTCCTGCATTAAAAAATTTGTTAGAAATAGACTGTAATAATAATTTTACTAGCAGTATAATTGGTAATTATCTTTTTAGGGTAAGCAGCCAAATAACCCATCAAAACTGTTAGTAGATGCTGCACTTAAACATTGGTTTGAACTGGGAATGAGAGCCGACAATACAAGTGTTGTTACAGTGATGCTAGATCCACCCGGTCCTCCTAAAAGTGAAGTGCTGTTACGACAAAGAGTAATGAAACGATTAAGGCCAAGAGATGAACAGGGTGATGAAGGTTAGTTAGTATACTTAATTTTTAATCGATACCTATAAAATAATTTAGTTGATATACTTAAATTAATGAAAAGTTTTAAAGGTATATTCAATATTAAAAAGAAATGAACCATTTCTGATACATGCATATTAAAAATAGTTGTTTACTATTCCATGCAAATGACATTAAATGCCACTTAATCATTAAACATGTGTGGCAAAATTTTCATCTTGTGTTGCTTCCTGTATGTAATTATAAAATTCATATTACTTGATTATGATATGATCATTTGGTTTCTAATTGTTGAAGTATCTGCAGACAGTATGGTTTCAGTTGCTGTTGGAAAGTCTTGCTAATTGTTATGTGTAGAATAACAAAACCACAGCTAGTGTAATTTCCTAATTTTTGTGGACTATAAGTAAAACGGTCTGCAACTTTTGCATTTTTTTAGTCCAAAGGCCTCCTACAAATATGGGCATGTGGAAGACGAAATTTGAAATTTGGTATTTGTTTTATTATTGATTTCATATTTTGTAAAACTTTAACGAATTTTTTATTAACAATTTCAAGGATTTCAAAGCGAGCAATGGCAACACTCTACGGATTAGGGGGGGGGACCTTTTTGTCTCCAGTGCGAGGAGCTGTGTATCGGAAATTTTAAAAATATCCCCATTTTAAAATTATTTTGTGACATTGCTATTGAACTGAGTTTTGTGGTTTAAGTGCAAAGAATAGGATATTTAATAAATAAAGGTAACCCACAAAACGTTAAAAAGAAGAGACCCATTTGGACTTAATTTAAAATCTGAAACCTTTCAGATTTATTTTTTAATACTTGGCCATCTGGGGCTTTTGTCTTTATACAGACAACCAGCATTCTTAAACTGTAAGCATATGATCACAGACTGCTGTCAATAAGGATCTGTATTGTACTGCCAATTAAAACACGCATTGCATAGTGATGGATGAATGCTCTGTATATTCTGTAACTCAAAATGTTTTCTTCTTTAAACTTGCCATTTTGAAAAATGGAGCTCATATATGTTACATAATGTATTATGAGAAAATCCGCATTTGCAGATTTCAAAATTTAATTCATTTCTTTTCTTACACAGTCAATCCATAATTTGGAAATTATAGGAATTCACATGGTTCTTACAGTCCTTAAGAGTTCTTAAAATTCCTTAGATTTTTTGGAATCAATTTTTGGTCCTTAAAAGTCCGTAATTTCAGCCAAATTGGCAGAAGGTCCTTAATTTTTATCATCTGAAATTTCTGTCTGTTTTTATATGACTGCCATTTTGAGTGTGAATTAAGATTTTTGAGATTAACGGAGATACTATTGGTGATTAACTGATAAATATGTTTTTTAATGGGTTCATAGGTTATAATTTGTTCCTATTTCTAATATAATTAGTGGAATATTCGAGTTTCATAGGCAAAGAAGTGCAACATAAGCATTTCGAAATTATTTCGTTTTTCCAAAGAGCTCTTAAACAAATTTTCGCTTTTGGGGATGTGAATTCTTTTATTAAGCAGTTCTAAATTTGGCAACTTATCAACATTTTTTCAATTTTAAGATCAGTTTCTATAGAAAATTTTTAATTAAGACACCTGGGGATTTTTGACAGTTTTTTCTAAAACGTTGTAACATTGATAAATTTCATTAAAATAATGGTAATATATTGATATTATATTTAAAAAATAATATTAAAATAAAATATTTTGAATTTTCAAGATATCGACATTTTTAATTTTCGAGATATTCGATTTATAGACCCATGATTCTAAAGATTCTAGAAAATTGTGACAAAATGAAATTTATCTTCATAATATTAATACATAATGGATGTGTTTTACAGAAAGTTTGCAATGAAAATCTCACTTTTTGGAGAATGTCTGGAAGAATAATGAAAACATAATATTTGAATGTTTTACTTCTGATAGTAGAATATTTTTCTTTACATGTTTATCTCCTCTTTATTTTTCCTACTTTTCACTACATACAAACATGGAAAATATCGAAAATGCTTCTATTCATATCACATGGACAGGCATTATAAAAATTAATTCTTTGATTACTAAAGAAATTGAAAACTGGCAATTTAAAAGATTCATCTAATATGTTGTAATGCATCATACACAGGGCTGGCCCTAGGCATTTTCCCACCTGATGCAATCTTCTGTGGATCTTAAATTTTGCTGCCTAGTGCCTTTCTAAATTCTGCTTCCAATGCCTGCTCTGAATTCTAAAAGTTTTGCCATATGTAGATTCCGTTGCTTGGTGTGTCACTAAATTCTAAAAATTCTGCCAGACCAGCTCTGTAACCAGCGCTTACCATATATATATTTCATATTTCTTCTGAATGTGCGTATTCTTAAAGAAATAAAATTAGCAGCTTTTTCTGTACATTCTAAATACATTTAGTTTTTGTAAAATAACAGAAATCTTAAATCCAAAAATTCTGAAATGAAAAGTAAACGTGTTGAAGAAAGAAACTAAATGCAAAAGGACAAAGAAATTTATTCTTCAAAGTACAGTTATTATTATGTAAATTACCAGATGTTTATAATTTAAGCCTTTGCTATGATTTCCCATTTCTATTTTTTCACCAGAATGCAAATCACTTAGACAGTTTTTAAGATTGTAAGAGAGTACATTAGTCCACATTTTTAGTTTGAATTTGACTCTTCTCATTTAATTACATCACCATGAGGTGTAATTGATTTAACATAAGAACATGCCTTTATGTTCTAAGTCCTTTTTAAATAAGAGGCTTATTTAAACCTTTGTCTGACTTTGTAGTTACTTTCAGACATAGTGATAATTTGCTTCTCATCTGTTGGGGGTTTGGGAACTATTTAACTTTCTTACTAGATCAAGTAAATCCTCATAGGTACATTGTGGTGTGGTTGACAAGTTAGGAGGCAAAGCACACAGAAACTGAGAACATTGGTTTGCGCATTGAGACAAATTTCTAATTGTTAGAAAAGATGCTTAAAGTGAAGAAAATCTATAAATTAGCCAAAATGTTCGGGAAGGCTTCAAATTAAAAAGACACACAAATATTTTGTTGAGTGTTGTTGCTACAAAACATAAATGTTCTAATATTATCACATGGACAGGCATTCTAAAAATTAAATGAAAGCTGGCAATTTAAAAGATTCATCTAATATGTCTTAATGCATCATACACAGTTGTTTAAAAATCAATGTCATAAATTATATTAAAGTGTGAAATTTTATTAGATTGTGATTTTAATAGGACTTTTTTAACAAATTTTGTTAAAGAATAAATAAAATTTAATAGTGGCCATGTAAATCCATAATGACTAAGGTTATCTAACTACCTAATTTAATTATTTATAACTAACTGCTTACCTTTAAAAATTATCTCAGCATATTAAAGCGACTTATTGCCGCCTTATCGTGGTCACAAGATAAAACACGAAAATGTAAAAATTCATATAAAATTATTCTTTGCATCTAGTGAGATTTAAAATAATACAAAGCGACTTATCACCTCTGGGGATTTAGTGGCATATTGGAAGCTTAAAGTATATTAACTGGGTTACAACCCTGGAACTTTACTCAAAGCTATGTAACTAATTGCATCAAACAGAGCCTAACTTTCAACACTTGCCAACCATGCCTACATCAAGCATTTCAGGTTTGTTCTGATCAGCAGGTCACTCTCTAGGCCAGCAGCAGTAGTAAAAACACCCAGTCTTTTGCTATGGAATCATGCAGATTTATGATTTTACATCTCATTTTAACCTATGTCACTTGACATAACCTGCTATTTTCTAAACCTCTAGACTGAGCAAGTATGTAACAAAATAGACATTTAAAATAAATCAATGTAAAACTGTTAGTGAAACATAAATAAATGTCACTATCTTCTTTCAAATATATCCAACTTTTAAAGTGTAAAATATTTAATGTTACGTGGTAAATTTCATAAAGTTTATTTTATTTTCAGACTTATTACACTCAAACCTGTTTTTGTGCGATTATCCAGTCCCTATTCATGGCATAAAAAAAGTACTTTTTAATTGTGTTGCAAAAACCATTTTTTATAGCTACTCATGAAGTTTTGTGTGATTTTTCTTTATACGGTCCCTATCCCCTACACAAAAACAGGTTGGAATGTAATAATTATGTTAATTAAATTATGTTTAAAAATAATGCATCCTACTTACGGATCTATTTATTTTTAGGATGGTATTACAAAAGAGAAGTTCGGGTATAGATAATAATTTAATTGAATTTATTCAGTTCCCATTTGCTTATAGGTCCTTAATTTTTATCATAAATGGTCCTTAAAAGTCCTTAGAAATACTTAATTTCTGTGTGTGGAAATGTATATGAACTCTTAATTCAGAACCCAATGAACCATTTTAACCCTTTCGATCTGACGTTTGCATGATTAAAATTTAACTATGAAAAGTAATTTAAGTGTAATATGAGTTTAAAGATTTTAACTTTTCCCATTTCATGGAAATCTCTTGTTACAATATGTCACAGTTGTATTGTCAACTCAGACTGTTTGTCCCAATCGTCTTAGGATATTGTAATAATAACCTTACACTGCATGTGAATAAATAATAAAGTTAAATGAAATGTATCGAATATTTTATTCTTACAGTACAAGTTAAGTATAATATGGCTTAAAGCAGTCTGCAAAGTGCAACCTGACATATTTGGCACATAGCCAGATTTCTTTAGTCATATATATTTGTTCCTTAATTCCTTGAAAACACCGCAAATATAAAAACCCGTTTAAAAGTGGGTTTTATTAACCCATTAGGGAATGAAATCTAATCTTTGGCATGTATGTGCCCATTAGGACTGAAAGGGTTAAATATATGCATTTATCTGTCATAATAATGCTAAATAAATAATATTAAAGCACAGGAAGACTGTACTCTTAAACAGTGCGCAAAGAGAATTCAGCTTATGCCTACCCCCCCCCACAAGATTCGACTGTAGTAATCGCATTTTGTGCAGAGGACCTTTATATGCTTAAAGTATGCAGACTATAAACAAAATAATTAAATGGGTCGAATAGTAAAACTGTATGGAAAAATAAAAATTGTAAATAAATGTAAAAGTTACATTCACTAGCCAGGTTATGCTAGACTTAGATATATGCTAATGTAGTGTGTAAGTGTTTGTTCAAAGGAAAAAAAAAATAATTGAAAAATAAAAGTAAAACATAAACTAAAACTTACTAAGCAGTGATCATCTAGTTACAAGTTACATTAAAAGAAATGTTTAATAAAATAAACATATGAATATTATCCTTTTTCCCCGTTTTAATTTTGATACCCTTTAGATCATAAATGCTTCATTACTTCATAAATCATGATTCCATATTTTTAATTTTATAATTTCTGCATGTCATCTTACTAAATTTAAACTTCTGTTCTAATATCTGGAAAAATACTAAATCCCGGATTGCTGAAGTCCCGATGTCAGACTTAGTGCTGTATTGCATCAGTGTTTGTTATTATTAAATGTATCATTAACTGTTATGATTAATTAAACATAGGATTAACTGTCAAACATGTAATCTAATCTTAATTACATATAATTATTTCATATTTTTAAAATTAATTTGAATTTTTGTATGTAGGAAAATTTTATATTTGATGTGATTTTTATTATCAAAAAACATAATTAATTTAGGGCAAACTAGTAATAAAGTGGTTAAGGTGGTTTATAAAATAATAAGTTTAGCTTATTTTGATAAATAACTGAGTTTGGTTTATGAAAATTTCTTTTTTTTTTTTTTTTTTTTTTTTTTTTTTTTTTTTTTTTTTAATTTGCATGTTTCCTAACTGAAGTAAATAAAGTGAACAGTGGCTGAGCATTTCAGAACATACAATAAACATTGAAATTTAAATGGACAAACTTAAAATATTTCATACAGTTTGCTTATAGCATTTAGATTTCATTAATACTTTCTACAGGTTTAATTATTGATTTTCATTGAATAAGAAAATAAAAGCCATTCCTTTTGGAGTTTCTTCTTATAATTCTTTGTTGTTTCCATACTGTTTATTATCAATATAAAGAAGGAGAGAAGAAAATTAAGTAATTGTGATTAGAGAAGAAAATTAAGTACATCATTCAATGGTATATTTAAAGCAAAGACAGAGAAGAGTTATATTTCACCAAATAATATATCTCTGCATTGAAATCTATGTAATTGAGAAAAAAATTAAGTATTACAAATAAACTTTATACTAAAAGTTTTTAAAAGTGCCATTTTCCCTGCTAAGTTCTTTGAAAAAGTACTCAGTTGACAATACCGAAGTGCGCAATGATACATAGATGAGGTTCTGCATCTCCCAAATAAGGCTGTGTAAGGATGCTGTAGACCACAGTGTTGGCTCATAGATGACAATAGTGATCCTTTTTGGGATGCTACAATGGCTGAAAGCCTTCAGAATGAGGATTTGGTTCAAATGGATTGAGTAACTATACTTGCTTGCCAAGATGTTTTAATACCATCAGCTAATTTGACGATTCGAGAGGAAGTTGCTGTTCTGTAATAGAAACAAGGAACTGTTTGATATGAGATTTATTTTATATAAAGTTGTCATTTAAAATCATTGATTGTGAATTTCGTGACTTGTACGAAGATTTGACTTTAGAAAATTGTACTTAAGTGAAATAAATATCATGACAATTAACCATCAGTTTGGGCATTAATAATTGGCAAAATTGAGGATTTAACTTGAAAAGTTTTAATTCATTTCTGCTCCAGATGAGTAGTTCTTATTTGGAGTTTTTATTAGGATGAGTAGTTCTCTTAGGAGCTCTTATTCTCTATATATTGCTCCAAGTGTAATGAATCGGTAGTGTCTTTTAACTTATTTTTTTAATAAGTTGGAGAAAAAATAAGGAAACCAAGTGCTAAAATTGCCTGAAAAACTTCAGTTAATGGACTTAAATTCCCCTTTAAAATCTTTACACTCAGTAAATTTCCCCTCCCCCTCCAAGTTAATTGTTGCTCCCTGTTGAAGAGTGTACATACATCTTATTTCTATAAATTCTTTTTTTTCTCCTTCGCTTCCATTTCATTCATTACTTTATTACATTCTTTGTATTCAAGGTGAGAGATCCATTTTCTCTGCTTAGAAATAATTTACTTCAGAAGTAGATAGAATACTCAATTTTAAGAAATCTGTAGAGTTTCTTAGTCCTTCACCCCGCCCCATCCCCCCAAAAAATCATGTTTTCCCAGTTGCTTAACCTTCCAGCACGTGCACTTGGCAATTTTATGTGAGCAGGCGCGGGTCATATTTTTTATGACATCCGTTTGTTTATTGTTTTGGGCGTGAAAAACGATGTAAATGAGTGAATATTGATTATAAATTTGTTAAGAAATAAAATATGAATCTTATTATTGCAAAATACAAATTATATCGTATTAAAATATAAGTAAATTATTTTTAAGTTCTTTTGTTAGTGAGATGGAAATGCAATGATGTATTTCATTATAGAAAATTTTAAATTTATTATCTAATAATCATATTTTTAAATTGAAGCTAATTTTAATATTCATCAAAGACAATTATAGACAATAAAAAAGGAAAACACCTTGGTAAGAAAAAAAGTAAGTTTAGCATTGCTTACTTCTGCAAGGAAATTTACTGGTTACAAAAACACACTTTAAACTAACTTTAATGTTTTTATTTATTTCTAAAAAACCAAAATAAAGAAAATAAGGAATGGAAATCGCTATTGTTCTCCCATCCAAAGGTTTCCTTTTCTTCATCAGATAATTCTTGAAGAATCCGAGCAAAATCAGCTGGTTGCACATATTTTTTTAACCATGAAAACTGATATAGTATTTACAGAGCCAAATGTATTCAAATTAAAATAATACACTACAATATGAATTAAAATAATACACAAATTATTGGAGAAAAAAAATATTTTCCGAATTTTAAACACGACCACACGCATGTCGTAACTTTTATGAAAAAGCCGCCACTTAGCACAAAAGCCCAGTTTAAAAAAAAAAAAAAAAAAAAAGGTCAAATGACTACCTGTTGGTACATTTTATGATGTGGGGAAGGGTAGAAAGGAGGAATAGAAATGACCTTCAGACGGCTCAGCTTCGATATGCGAAAAATGTGCATTATTTTGCACATACGTGCATGCTGGAAGGTTAATAAAGAAAGAATGCATTTAAAACTATAGGAAATGTTATTTATTTAAAATATTTTTGCAAAAATGTAGCAAAAGTACTTCAGGGAAGATATTTTTCTAATATTATGCTATCTTTAAAAAGTCCTGTATTTTATTGCATCTGTTGAAATAGATTTCTGTAATGTATTCATTTATTTTGTGCGTATTAATAGAGTTTAATATTTTGTTTTTCTTTTTTAAAGATTCAAATTCAAGTAGTGGAAATACATTTGATGCATCTTGCACATTAAATTCTAAAGATAAAAAAAAGACCGGTGACTGTTTTGAACTGCAACCATCAAGAGAACGGAAACGGTCTTCAGATTCATATACTGAAGTAATATCAAAAGAAAGGAAGCTTTTGTCTGATACTGAAGAAACTGTGCCTAAAAATCTTCCAAAGCCTGTAATTTTATCACCTCAGAGAGTAGTAATAAAACATAAAATTCCATCCACACCTCAGTCGCCGGTAATTGCTTCTTGTGTGCCAAGTATAGAAAAAAAGCAGACATTCACAAAATTATCATCGGCTGATATAAATTTATTGCCTAGCGGTATTACTGATGTAAAATCCAAGAAAAAAGGCCATGATCCTCCGAAGGAGAAGCAAAATAAAGAGACAGAAACTGCAAATGAAAATATTAATGATCCACCAGGTTCTATATTTGAAAATATAAATGACCCTGCTGAAAGAGAATGTGGAGAATCTTCTGAACCTAAAAATACATTAAATGAAAATTACCAGGGAAAACAAAGCACTTTTCTAAACAAAGCACTAGATAGAACAGATTCTGTGTTACCAAAAATTGGAAAAGAAAGTAGCTTGCCATCACCTGACACAGGTTGTAAAGAAAATGGCAGGATTCATTTATGTGAGGTAGATAACTTCTTTAAGTTAAATAATAGGACTTTAGATTGTGTTGAAACAGCAAATGATATTAAACAAAATGTTTTGCCCAACGACAGCAAACCAGTTCCATCTAAAATGAAAAATTTAAGGAAACGTTCTTTACGTAGAAATCATTCAGTATATCAAAAGCCTAATGCTTCATTAAAACACACAGGACTACAAGGAAAAAACTTTTCTTCCGTGCATTCTGGATTGCATGAGAAAAGTAATCCTTCCAGAACTGCTCGCAAAACACGTACCAGACTTACACATTGTCACAAAACTCGTGCTCAAGTTGAACTTCGCAAAATAAAACTCTAGTTTGTACTGTGAATTATATTAACAGCTGTGATCTTCCTGACTGTAAAGTTCTAGAAATCATCAGGCATACATTATTGTAAGTGCGTTTATTGTTAATTTGTAAGTTCTACAACTAATAATTATTAATATTTAATCTGGGAGATAATTTTCTTGAAGTAGATGATTCCAAATATATTTACTTACATCATGTAACCAGAGTAACTTATGCTTTCAAGAACTTATAATAAGAGAAAAAAAGAAATGAGTATTAATTAAGCAAATTTTATAAAAGCAAATATTTTGCCGTTGAACTCCCTTTTCTAAAAACTTGTTGCCCATTTGCTCATTGACAAGAAGCCTTTTGGGGCGGGGGGATTATGTTACTTTATGCTGTTATAAAACAAGAAATTTTATGTTGTTTCTTATATTAAAATTTTTAAGTTGTTTGTTTTTTATGTTAAAAATATATGTTATAGAATCTTCCCAATTTTTTGTGGGGCAGGGGGTGGTGATTCTTGTATTACCTTAACATATCATGTATAATTCACATGACTTTGCAAGTGTTACCATTGCATAAGATTTGACATCTTTGTCTTACACTTCACCTGGCAAATAATGGGAATCTAATTATGATTGCATTGCTTAACAAACTTAGTTAAATTATTAAAAAAGCATTAAATGCACTTCTTACTAAATTAATGTTTCTCAAAATATGTCCGGTTGGTAATTATAAACATCTGCTGCATTATTGTAATTAATAAAAGACACTTTTGATACCATATATTGATACCTCAACACCAAATCATTTGCTTTTCGATAGCAAATCACAGGTCCATTATTTAATTAAAAATTATGTTAAAATATTTAATACCAAGCTTAATGACATACGACCCTATCTGAATGAATGCATTAAAAAAAGATCTGTACTGTATTTATATATATATATATATTTACTGTTTTATATGGATATACAGTGTTTTTAATGCAGTTAATTAACAGTAATTTGATTCAGTATTTTTTTCCTTTTTTGGAAGGGGGAGGGCAGAGCTTGGTATAGATTTCACTGTTTTTAGCTTTTTGTTATGTTTATAAAAACATTCTTTTAATGCTGTTTAACCATATTGTACTATAATTTTTAACATGTAACTTTGATATTCATCATTATTCATAAACATTTTTGCTTTAATACCAGTTGCTGTAATATATTAGAACTGTTAATTCATGTTTGAAAGTTTTTACAGCTTGCTATATTAAGGGTACTCTTAGAGTTTTGAGATGCTCACTAATTAAAAGAAGTTGGTATTTATAATATTCACTATTTATAGCATTCAGAATCCTTTTATTATTCTGTATACTTTATGGAGTTTTCATTCACTGACACTGTTTTTCAAAACAATTGGTCCTGTCTGTGGTTCTACCTGTTGATCCTGTCTGATACTTTTTAGAATTTAAGCTGCTTTAAATTTTCTTCTGATGAAAATTCTTTACTTTTCAGCTACTTCTTCACCCAAAGGTAATGAAAGTCTGTTATGTGACTTATCCCACTTGTCTGATAGTAACATCAGATCAACTGTGAATTTTATCATGGCCAAGAGTAAGGGTTGTGCCTGTTATTGGTTTAGACCTTGGACACATTGTAGTTGATGGTATGAATTTGTATAACTCTGTCCCAGTTTTAAAGGAGAATCTTCCAGGTCATTGATCTGAGGATCTGTCATCCCATTTTCCCTACCAACTATGGTTTAGTATTTTACATACTCTCATGCCATAAAGACACTGTGCACTTACAAAATATCTAGGATTTGAACCCAGCTTAAGACTTTTTCATCTGACTTCTCTACAACCATGGTATTTGGATGGCATGTAAAATTTTAATAATGGCAAAGCAAATGAAGATGGTAAGTGTGGTACAGTTGCTACTTTTGTCTAATTGCAGAAACACTTCTTGTAGGTATGTATTTATGCATCTCCTGAGAAACTATATCTAGGTATCTTTTAAGATATTTGTTAAGCATTTGTTAGGTAGATAAAAAACTGTCCACAGTAATAGTATTTTGTGTTTTTATCTTCATAGTTAAAATGTTGTAGTTAAAATGTTGACCACTTGTAAGAACAAAAGGTGCTTCCACCCCCTGCTGTTTCACCTTATATGGGTGGCTGTTCATTAGATTTTATAAGGAAAATGAAAAAGCATGAGTTACTGTTTGTCAGTGGTTCTTGAATATATAGCTACATAATAAAGGTCGAAGATAAATCCCTAACTTGAACGCATTTTTGGTCTGAAGTGTAAAGCAGCTGTTTTCAACCTTTTGACTAACGTATACCTCTAACCAAAACCTGAAAAACTTAAGTACCACCATTACATTTTACTATGATTATTTTTCAATTTCATAATAGAAATATAAAAAATACATATATACAGTGTGTTTCTAAATGAATTTTGAGGTTTAATGCTTTGTAGTGTTTATTACATAAAACTTAAAATTATAATTAATGCATGAAATGAAAGAGCAACTCATGACACTTTGTCCTTGTAATCCTAAATTTAATTCATGTAGCTTTCCAAAAATGTCAGCTAAATATGCTAATTGTGCCAAACCATAATTCACTAAACAAATAATTCTGCAATTCAAATTTTGAATCACCGAGAAAAATAAACAATTTTTCTTTTCTTTTCAACATTCTTAATGCAAGTTGCAATGCAATCCATCATCCGTAAATCATCTCATTTCCCGTTAGTGGATCCTAGCCATTTTTCCATTTTGGAAATCTAGGTTTGTTTTATTATTTTTTCACAAATATTTAAATGCACAATATTGTCGTGTGTCTATGAGTTCATAATAGATTGAATGCACAAGTCCGATAATAGGTTAATAAAATTTATTTTTTATCAAAAGAAATATTTCAGAACCCTGGAATTTTTCAGAGAAATAATCTTACAAATGTTCAGTATCACACAGTAAAATCAGTAGTTACACTTCAAACTACTAAGAATGTTAAACACTATGCAATGCAAAGCATATGTAAAGAGAAAGCTAACTTGGATTAATGCAGAATTACAACTTGCAATAACAATAACTAAGCAACTGAGAGCAGTTACTCTCTTTTCGGCTTTAAACACATTTCAAATGGCCGGGAAGATATTTATAATACTTTCTGCTTATTCGAAATTACTGGAAAGCAATACAAGGGTGGAATTATGGTTACAGCTAACATAGTGCTCAATTACATTTATTTAATTTCAATACATATTACGGTGATACAGGAACCAGACCAAAATGTCGCCAAATTTGTCTGCTTTTGGCAAGGTGACAAAATAAGTTGCTGAAACCGTTGTCAGCTCGGTGATATCTCGCCAAATTGCCCAGATACCCATAAATACAGTTGTGCCTGTATTCTTACTTTTCCTGTATACCTTCTCTTTAGATTTTTCATGTTACAAAAGAAATACAATTTTCTGTATAATTCTACTAAAATTGCCTATCTAAGTACAAAATTTGTAACTACATATTATGACTTCTTTAAAAACAAATGATGATATTCTCAAATTGTGTAGAAAAATAAGGAATACAAAGCAAGAAGAAGATGAAATACTTGCTGTTAAAGACAGCAAACTGACGTAAAAAAATTATTCTAATTGAAAATAAAGCGATATGATCCTGGAAATGGTGGCGACATAAAATATGGACATACTTATAAATTGATCAACTCTTAAAGAATTAGTGAAATACTGTTATCTTTTTATAGGTACATACATTTCTATTACTGCTTTTAAAAACTTCATCTATGACAAATTTTTTATGTCGATGGCTAAAAGAATATTTGTGAAAATAAAAACGGTTTGTTTTGCTAAAGTCTATGAGCGGCTATTGACCTTGAACAAAGTTCACATAGCATAAATTTATGAGTGTTGAAAAAAACTTAACAAGATGCTGGGGTATTTAATTTTAGAATTTAATGTTTAAAAATCTTTGCATACCACCAGTTGAGAATTGCTGGTTTAAAGCATCAAGTTAGCAAATAATAGTTTTTCAGTTCAACCTTGGCTTTTGAATTCTATATTTTGGAGGTAGAAGATATTAACCTTACTTTGATAATGCTACCACCACATCATATAATTTAAACTAGGCACCTACAGCATATAATTAACTCATTATCACTGATCGTAAGCACCAAATATCCGTATTCATGTTTTGACAGTTTCTGAAGCACCCCAGCTTATTTTTAGCTTATACTTTTCAGGTTTTTTTTTCTGTTCTACTCCTTTACTATACTTTTCTACTAAAAAGCAGATATGGCATTTACTGTGTACATTCCCTTAGTATGGATTGGATTTGGACTTATAGCATATTGCTTTACAGGCATCTGCAGAATAAGAGCAATCTGCCTAAATTAGGTTAGGCTACTTGAATAAGGCAAAGCACTCAAGAGTTATCTGTGGAAGGGGAGGGATAGCTTTGTAAGGAAAACTGTCTTATATTCACATTATGTGAAAAAACAACAAATATTAAGAAATGCAGTGAGCCCCTTCACTAGGATTTGAAACCAGTTCAAAGTACTGATGTTTAGCAGTCTAAAACTTGGCCACTCATGCATCACTTTCATAAATCAAGAAAATTGTGAAAAATAAAGTTGATGTTTCCTGAACTGATCTTTAGAATGTTCTCACTTTGGAAGTAGGTTATATTATAGGGTCTTTACTCATGAGCATTTTTATAATGGTAATATTGCTGCTGTAATTAAGATGGGTGGATGGCTTTTGCTTGTGTCACATTTCAAGAAATTGCAGGCCCATGTGTGAAGTGATCACATCATATAAGTAAGATTGAATCCTAATTTAGTAAATCACATCATATAAGTAAGATTGAATCCTAATTTAATAAATCACATCATATAAGTAAGATTGAATCCTAATTTAATAAATCACATCATATAAGTAAGACTGAATCCTAATTTAATAAATCACATCATATAAGTAAGATTGAATCCTAATTTAATAAATCACCTCATGTAAATAAGATTGAATCCTAATTTAATAAATATGGATGCAACAGTTTTCTTGATGTAATCCTTTTTTTTTTTTTTTTTTTTTCCTATTTAAAATAAAAAATTTTTGATTTAACGAATAAATAATCTGATTGAATGAACTGAGAAAGGTTCAATATTTTCTGAATTAAAATTTTGTAAAGTATTTTTCCTGAAAATATCAGTTATCTTTAAATTATATATCAGCTTTCTTCCCATGAAAGTTGGAATTATCCTCATTATAGACACTAAGAGTAAGGAACTTTCCATTCCCAAATTGTGCATATGAATTGAGAAAAATTTGATTTTTTAGAATAGCGAGTAGTAAAGTTATTGGTCTGATCTGGAATTGAAATCTTAAATAATCCAGCTGCATTGAATGCCATCAGAGATTTATTGAATGAAATGATTTTCAAACACATCGCAAGTTGATTTTAAAGGTGTTGATGTTTATGACAAAGTGCAGTTAAAAGTAGAAGAAGATACTGTTCAGAGGGTGGAATGAAATTTTAAACGATGAATTCTATGTTGACAATTAGAAGAAATCATGTTGTAGATGCTATACCTAGCCTCAAGGTAGGAAAGAAGTATTGCATGGTGCAGTGGAGAAAATAGAATATTTGCTGTATGAAATATTGATAATGATGTTTGGAGAATGATAAAATTTCTTTTTTTAATAATAATTTACTGCCTGGAACTATTTTTCAAATAACATCATTTCATTTTGTGTATGAAATATATTTCATGTATATATTTTATTGAAATCTTTACGTCAGTGTGAATGTATGATTGAAATATTTGAAAACTTAAAAAAGTTAAACAAAGAAAACCACTCTCACTCAGGACATGGCTTTCTCAGAGACATGCGTGTGTAAGGTTTAGGTTAGTTAACCCATTATCTTAGTAATTGAACTATACTATCACTTCAGACTTCTGTTAGCTCTCACCAAAATGTAAATGAAATACATGTATGTACTTAAAAGCTAAAGCGAGAGTTTTGTCAGTGATGCTGATCATTGTGCTATTTCTTTGTCCAGCTCTGAAAATTACTTCATTAGTTAGTCTTTTACCTGTTGAGTAGCTGACACAAATTTTATTTGGTTGGTTGTAGTTTGTTCATGCAAGGTCCAAAATACTGAAAATCTTGCGGCAAGCAAAATTCAGAGCACCAACATGACAGTAGACCATATCAGCAGAAGAAGCAAAAATAATATACACAGCTTACAAGTAACAAACAAGCACCAAAACAGAAGTAGAAGAAAAAGGTAGGTCAATAAAACAAAACAACAAAGGTAAGGTAAAAGCTGGACAACTACAATAGAAAGAGGGGAGAAAGAAGAGAGGAAAGAACACTGGGGCTCTGGGATTATGACCCCTGTCTTACCAAGAGGGTGATCAATTGAAGGGCTAGGATGCCTCTGGTTTGCTATCCCTGAACTCGCAATAAGTAAACTCCTGAAGGGTGCAAATTTGATTGAACCAGCATTAAGCTTTTACTCTTGTAAATTTCCAACATTAAATTGCTTTTGGATTTTAAATCATGTTATGCTATCTGAAATCGTGTAAGCTGTGGAGATCAGGTTGTGAGGTGCATTTATTAAAGTTTAAAGTTTTGATGAAATACTATTTTTAACTGTTCTTCTGTGTTGGTGGTTAAGTTACATAAATGAGACAAAAAGTGATCTTGTAGTCTTTAGAGACCAAGTAGTTAAACTAAGTGTGAGTGGAATTCTACAAGTATACTAGACCCTTAACAATAATTTTTTTAAGCCTTTTAGACAGGCATTAGCCTCATTTAATGATACACAACAAGTGTAAACTGATACTATGGTGAGAGCAAACATTTTACCTTCACAAATTTTGAGTATCTTGAAACTTTCTAAGCACCAATTTATCAATTAATGTTTAGCTGGCTTATTTATTTTTGGCTAAGTAAATATAACTGCTTTAACAAATAAAAGCATTAAATGGCAAATAAATTTGTAAAATAATGCCAAGTTAAATATTACTAACAAATAATTATTGCATTGTTAAAAAATATTCCTCTTTTATTGTCATTCATTTGAGATATGTGTTTAGATACTAGAAAAGAAATGCAGGAGTAATCTGTATAATGTTCATTGGGACCTTTCAGACTGTTTTTGTTTGTAACTTTTTATGACCAGATAACATTTTTTTCCTGCTTTCTTATTTTTATATCTCAGGTGCTTATTTGGTTCTGAATATAATTTTTGAAAAACATAATGTATTCATTTTAAGTTTTGTAGGGCTTATTAAGAAAAAATATCTGTTAAAAATAAAGTGCACATCCATAATAAAAATTAAATTCCATAAAATTATTAAGCTATTTTACCAAGCTCTATGAGGAGTACATTATATTTGGATGAGGTAACTGTAGTTACTTAAAAATTATGATAGATTTCTTTGACCTCTGATTTGAAAAGTTTTGATGCGTACTACTGATATGTTCTGATATTCCAACTTTCATGAAACAAACGTTCTACATGTTGTCATGATGTATTTTCTCGGAGTACTGTATTTTCTCAGAGTACTTATCTCAAATTGTTAACTAGTAGATAAAATTTTCCTACAAAATACTTTATAGTTTCCTTTCTAATTGACAATTAAATTGGGAAGAAAATAATAATAATTTTTATAAAATGTAAATTTTATTGCATTTTTTACCTTTTTATGATATATGTTTTATCGAGAATCGTAGGTCATACAGTTGCTTTAAATTTCATTTTTTAAATGTACATTACCTGATTTAGTCTGTACCATTTAGTTACATTTACTTTTGTTGATTAGTATATGTTTTAAAAAAAGGAAAATCCATAACAACTCATACATATTTGTAACTGATACCCTTGTTCTAATGTAATAAATGATTTATGTAAATAATAATAATTTTTTTTAAATTTATTCTGCTAGGATATGTTGATTTTTCTAATTTGGAACAATTCCGTTTTAATATTCATCTCCTCTTTTCCTGTAGCCATAGGCAGGAAACAAATGGTGAATGTAATATTGTTTCAGAAATAGAAAAAAGGATTTGGCGTAGTTCAGTTCCTAAATTTGTCGATGTTGCACATGTCGGTAGATTTTAGCAAAAGTAATAGATATCGTACAAGAATTCTTTGTTGCATTTTGATTTTAAAAATAGAAAGCTAATACAATGTCATCATCTCTGAATCATAGTATAATTTATCTGGTTGTATAGTTGGGTTAGAAAAGCTCCGACTGAACATTGTTATGTGTGCATATGAGAAAAGTACATAAATTAAAAATCAAAGCAACAAAATAATTCCCTCCAAAATATTTTAGCCTTGGCCAGTAAATTCAGAGTAACTTACAAAGTTAAGAATTGCAGTTAATCTTTACTTTTTTAGTCAACTAGCAAATATTTGTTAAAAATAACAACATTTTAAAATTCTAAGTCCGAAATTTCATTAAAAGTAACTGAAAAAAAAATAATATCTTCCCCAAAGGAAAGTTGTTATTAAAAAAATCACTAAATAAAAGCGAAAAATCAAATATAGCAGAGTCCCACAAACTCGACACAATGTGGACTGAGATGCTGTCTAGTTTCCAAAAAGTCGTGTTTTACGGAATAAGGGGTGGGTTTTTCAGAACTCTTAATATTTAATTATAAATTACATTAAGACATTTGTAGCACAGTATTGGACACGGAAAAGTACAGCATACAATAACATTAATATTGATTTTTTTATGTGAAGTTCTAGCACAATAGGAGCCATAAAAAGAACAAATACCCTAAGATAATTGAGTAAAAAAAACTTACATACAAAACTGGAGAAAAATTATTATCTTGGTAGAAAAATATTGTCTGATGGTAGATTATCTCTCACACTCATTCTGTTCATCGTGCAACTTCAACCTATAGGCGACAGAGGAACAAAATGTCCATATCAGATGCTCCTTGCACCATGTAGCAGAGCATTCCTTCAGTCCTTTACTATAGGTCATCATTTTGGCTTTTCTGTTGTCTTCAGGCTCTTCATTTTCTAATTCATCTTCATTTTTATCTACATTGTCTTTCACGATTGCAACTATTTCTGCATCTCCTAAAATTCCACAATTTTCATCTTGTCCCATCCATTCTTCAACATCACTATCACTAGCTTCTTCGCAGTGTGGAATTTTCTTCAGTAAGTCAACTATTTCAAAATTTTGTATCTGATCTCTGCTTTCGTGAAATTCGTTTCCTGAATAGTCCAGCAACCTTCTCCAGAAACGAACGAGGCTTTTCTGTTCAGTTTCCTTCCAAGAATGAGCTATTCATCCAACATGTCTGTTTCCTTTAGTTTCTTGAATGAAAAAAGTTTGCGTCTGTATTGTTTTTCAATTTTTCAAAAACGCCATGGTTCATCAGCTGACACACTGAAGTTATGTTAGGAGGGAGAAGTAGGCTCTTATATCGCCATCTCATAACTATTCTGCATCAGGATGGCATGAGGCATTGTCTAGAATGAATATTGCCTTCCTTGGTAGATTTTTTTTTTATTTAAAAAATTTTTCCATCAATCAAACAAACTGCTGATAAAACCAGTCTTTAAACATTGCTCCATTCAATGCTTTTTCTTTCCTTTAAACTATCCGTATGTGTTCTTTTCTCACACCAAGACTCAATTTTGGACTTCTTCTTTTTCCACCCTATTATAGTAGTTTGTCCAACACATAAATCAATGGTAATTTTGTTTACACTTCCCCCCTTTGTCTAATCTCTTTAAGGCATCTAGTTTCATTTCCATTGTCACATTAGTTTGTTTTCTTTTTGAATGACATTTTTCATCTCACAGAATATCAAAAGTTCCCCAAAATATGTAACATTTAGGCAGTTCCAAAAATAAATGGCACAGTGCGAAAATGGCAAAAATTACAGAAAAAGAACATTCAAATCTTTGAAGAGAACAGAAAAGACATATGCATAAATAATAATTATATGTACTGTATGCAATGTTTGCTCTGTTTAGCTTAGTGATATCCTAAAAAAGTTCCTAAAACGTTGTCAAGTTATATGGAATGCCAAGTTTGCTATACTGTATTTACTTACAAGAACAGATTTGATTTGGTTTCATCTCTTACTAAAGCTGTTAAATCCGATTTATTTGTTCATATGTTAATCAGTATTAAGGGATGAAAATAGGTACAAATATATCAGTTTTGTTTTATGCATAGTTACTTTTCTGATCAATTCTAAACAGCTGAATGTGTACAATCATCTGGTGCAATTTAGTAAATGTCATTGACTGATAGAAGACTTCTGAACAACAGTATGACATGATAGCATGTTAGACAAAATTTAAAACATGAAACAAATAGATATTCTTCAATTAATGCTGATATTTTTAGTTACAGATAGAAATGATGAAAAATGATTATGAAGTATAGTTCCATGGCACTAGCTGTGCAGTTTTGCCCCAGTTTTGAAGGAGAACACCTTAAGGTAGTCCAAGGATCTCCCACCCCTCTCTTCTCACCGCCAGCCTCTTGAGAAGATGTACAGCTTGCCAGGTTATGAATGCCCCTTTGCCACACAGATACCATATGCCCACAAACATCCATTCTCAGGGATTCAAACCCTTCCCATCGATATGGCAGTCAGTGTCACTAACTACTATACTAATTGAGTAGCTGTTTTTAGTTAAAAGGTATATCTGCCATAATACAAGGTTGTCTTTGAACTCAGTGCATAAAATCTGAAGAAAATATGAAAGGCTAACATAGTGGATTCTATTTTTAGAAGTCGTAAAGGGTAGTTCTTCAAATTTAAGTAATACTTTTGTGGGTTAATTTATTATCTTTTTAATAGGTTCTGCATGCTGAGGCTGCACCATACTTGATGAGCATAAATATAAGCTAGTTTTCCTTAAATTGTTGGCCTCTACAAAGCTCTCTTTTACTTGTAGGGCTCAAACCACTGGCCAAATTGTTAATATTGCTGAATAAAAGGAGTTTAACTGGGATTTGGTCTAAGAATTAATAAGGTACCTATATTATATGGTTGGTTTTCATGGTTCTTCCTATGCGTAGCTTGAATGCTACTTAGTTTCTGTTAGAAGGTCCTCCACAAAGGCATTCCTCCCATTATGTAGATAGTCCTCATGTGCTTTGCCATATTCAAATAGCTTAACTTAATCCTTTAGGAAGATTGCTTTCATATGCTTTACCATGGTTAAATCTTGTTTAAAACATGCTTATAATGTGCAAGGAAGAAAAGGATGAATATTTCTAATCATAATTCTAGTTTTGAGAGCATTTTACCAAAGCCAGTCACTCTTTTTTGTCTGTTTGAAATAATGTGTTTCTGCTTTGCTCATATGATTAATAACTAAAATGTCAGGAACAATTTCAATTAAACAAGGTCTTTGCCAAGCCTGATATGTGTACTGCTTAAAAGGGGACATAATTTAATAATTGAGAAGTAGACAGTAAGTAAAAAAAAATTAACAGCCAAAATTTTTATGTTACAAAATAGTTGTTTCAGAAAAAGAAGAGAAATATTTTAAGATTTTTATCAATAAATAAGTGAATCAGCAGACATAATTCAGCTGTTTATTTTGATTGATGTGCTTTATGTGTAGTTTATTAGGGCTATTTGAATGCGATTTCTTTGGAGATCCCCACTCATTAAAAATTATTATTATAAATATTTTTCAGAATTAATTACACCATTTGAAGAATATATTGCATTATCATGAAAATTTTGAAGTTGTATAATTCATTAGCAGCTTTTAGGCAGTTTATGACTAAATACCAATAAAAAATAATGATAACAATTAAAATCTTAAACATGATTACAAAGCAGCTGTTTCAAATATATCTTTCATGTGAATTCTTAAAGACAAAATAGTTATACCATTTAAAAATGAGATAGCTTTGCAGAATTAATCTCAAACATTTTGTGAATTGCTGATTTAGTTTATTATTTTAACAAATAAAGAACTATTAGTTCCAAGCTTTTGTAAAATGAATATCACTGTGATTCACTATTTAAAGTTAATATTGGTATTAAATTGAAATCTTTAGAACTGATAGGAAAGATCAGAGTTACTAATGAAATTATGAACATTTTTGAAACATGATAATTTCTAAAAATGTTATGCTTTTATTTGTATTTGAGTAAAATGAATGAATTATTAATGTTTTGGAAGACCATAATAACAGATTCAGTAATTGTAGTAATATTTCCAACATTATTCAGTGTATGCTGTTTCATCAGTTTGTTTTTTGATGGAGTGCATATTCAAAGAAATAAAAACTGAACTAATAAAATTGAAACACTAAACTATCACTGTTAATTCTTTTGAAAATTGCTTTTAGCCTCTGAAATCTTGGTATGATGTAAAACAGTAGCTATAAACTATCCTAGAAGGATTCTAGGAATTCATAAACTATTAGAAAAAGCATAAATGGTTGATACCTTGTTATGTTGTGGCTGTGACTTGGCTTTCTAATGTGTGCCACTTTGTCTAACCAATCCTTTCATACACCTGCATAGAATCTTTAATAATGAAGCTGTTTGTAAATTTAGCTGATAATTTGAATTAGAGCAACATTGCACATTAAGATGAAAATCTTGATGTTTCAAAAACGACTTAAGTGAAGTGTGATATTTCTTTGAATTATAATGCACAGGAATCCCTTTTTTTTTTTTTTTTTTTTATTTTTATTTTTTTTTTTCCCCCAACTATTAAATTGTATTGCAAAAGCAACTGGTAACTAGCAAAAAAAAAAAAAAAAAAAAGTATTTGTGCTATTATCAGAGCAAATTATTTATTCTGCTAGAACTTTTTTTTTTTTTTTTTTTTTTTTCTTAAATCAAGGAAAGTCAAAGTTAATAATTTGAATCTCAGGTAATTTCTATGATGTATATCTTCATTTGAAGATGGTTTCTTTTTGTATAGGTGCTTGAGTGCATAATTTTTTTAATTATCTTGACTCAGAATGTAGACAATCATATCAAAGTCTGTTAAATATTATATGAAGTACATAACTTGAAATAAATTTATAATTAATAAAATTACTATATTTAGTAAGATATGCATGAATGTGTTTTTGAAACTTTCTCTGAAAATTTTGAAAAGGAATTAATCTAATGACTTCTAATTGATATAAATTTTATTAATTAATTTAAATTAATTTTAAGTATTGTACAAATATAATTTGTATTTTAATTTTTTCAAAAAATTTGTTGCTAAAATTAAATTTTTTTGCACTTTGTGATTTCTTATTTTATTGCAAGTGTTAGAAATTATCTGAAGAAACCTGTATACTGGAATTTATGATTCTGAAATGTATTCATAATGGTGCTATTATTATATCTTTCTTTCTTTAAAATAAAATTGACAGTAAGCAAAGGATCTTTGAAAGAAAGAAAGGTTAAATTTTATAATTACTAATATCTTTTTGTAATTGTACTGAGAATTTATCTCTTCATTATTCCGAGTGATTGTTATTGTATCTGTTGAGTAAATTATTCAACTGTTTTACATCTTCATATTTCTTTCAAAATTTATTAATGAAAATTTTTAGAAATAATACATTAAAAACATCTGTATAGTTAAACAGTTTTTATGAAAGTATGTGTTTAAAAGATTAAGTGTGGAAAAATTTTATGATAGATGTACAGTTATGAAAAATAGAGTTATGTGTGTGTTTTAATATATATTTATATATATGGTGCCTGACATGATCCAGAAGATTTTAAAAACTGAATGAAGCTAATATAGTGGCTTATATACATTTATTGTATAAAATGTATGTATATTGTCAGATATTTATATTCAGCTAATTGTAAATATGTAAATTTCAATTTATGAAATAAATCATAAAATTATTTATCTTTATTATTGTGTAGTATATAAAAAGACAATAAATATTTAAAAAAATATTTCGTAATATTGTTTTTATGCATTCACATGTGCAGAAAATGACTAAATATATTGCAGTTTGTTAAAAATTGCTGATGCATAAACTTCGATTTGTCTTTATACCACCTATCCATCGTAAAAATTATTGTATTCTTTTAATCATTTGTAGTCTACTTTTAAATGTAATGATTTATGTAAATTTAAAATCCAAATCCATGCCATTACTTTAATAGTAGTTTGTAAGATAAAATTGAATTTATCAGCTGATGGTGAAGTTATGATTCTTGAATGACTAAATATATTGCAGTTTGTTAAAAATTGCTGATGCATAAACTTCGATTTGTCTTTATACCACCTATCCATCGTAAAAATTATTGTATTCTTTTAATCATTTGTAGTCTACTTTTAAATGTAATGATTTATGTAAATTTAAAATCCAAATCCATGCCATTACTTTAATAGTAGTTTGTAAGATAAAATTGAATTTATCAGCTGATGGTGAAGTTATGATTCTTGAAATGTCAAGTAAAAGCGTAACCGAACGAATTATGCTTCTGCAAAGTCAGGGTCTGTTGTCTGACACCTTCTAACAGCTTGAACTCTACGATCTGTGGGGGACAGCACAACGTGAATTTCTTGTCTTTGTGTGATCCACCTCAAAGTAAAGTAATGAGACTGGAAGCGTAATGTTTGATCTGGCAATAATGTGGACTGTTTGGAGAGAAGGGTGGGGGAACATTTGATGCACAACCAGTATGAATTTAAGCTTTACATTAATTGCTTGCAAAATTTCTTTTTTCCGATTGTGTTATGAAAATGAGCGACTGGAAATGGGTTAAGCAGCTAGCAGACTTCAGCAGCCGCAAAAGACCCAGTCAAATTAAAAGAATGGTAATGAAATTTATTTTTTCCAGTTACTTCAATAACATCATATATACTTGAATCAGTTTTACTTAAAAGTAACAAATCAAAAGAAATAATCACACTTTAAATTTTGTCACATTCTCCTACCTGCCTTTTTTTTTTTTTTTTTTTTTTCTGTTCTTGGGAATAACTTACTGAAACTTCCTGAAAAGAGGCACTTTTAACTTTAAGCAATTTCACGCTTTCATAGTGGTGATTGCCATAAGGAAAATGATACCATTAATATGCTTAATTTCCTCCTTTTCTATGAAATACTGGTCACTTTCAGATACTATTACAGAATAAATTGCTGTGAAAGTTTTCTAAACGTTGTATTTGACATGTGACATATATAAGTGTAGAGGCCACCTACTTATCTAGTATATATCACCTACTTACTTTAGGCCATCTACTTACTACCCATTACACTACTTATCTAGAAAACGAACACTTTCTCAGCCACTGAAGTCTTTTACTGACATTTGTCGATGAGCCATCAGGTAATAAAAGATAATTTCTCGTTTTTTAACTAAGTTTGGTGGCACTCTGCGCAAAAGTCGTCAGTGACTGTTAGAAATCATACTGCTGTCGTAGGGCTGTTAACATTTTAAACAACGTTGCTCTCTTCAATATTCGAATCCCCTGCTTCAGTGCAAGGTGATTGGAGTCTGCGTAGTCTTTGTTAATATGTAGTATTTTGGCGAAATCATTATGGCTGTTCCGCATTTGTTAAATTCATAAGTTTAATCATTTATATAAATAATGTTTGAGTATCCTTCGCGAATGAGATAACATTTAAGTTTAAATACAGTTTAAATAATTACTATATGGTGGAGATTAATTACAATTTCAAATTTGCCACACTTTGGAAGAAAATAAATATTTCCCGATTCTTCGAAGCTAACCGTTCTTTCAATTTAGCTTCAATGAATAACATTAAAGATTTCTTTCTAGTGTTAATATTTTCATATTAGATAAAATCTAATCCAGAATGCCTAGTTATTCTACATATCTTTTAATTATCTTTTCCAATACAACAGCATAATCCTTGCCAAATTGACACATTTAAAAATATTTTTGATTCTTAATAATATTTTGCAACAAGTTATTAATGTTTGAATAATTAAAAAATGGTGCTTTGGAAGGAATATATTATGTAGCTTTGCTACACACTTCATTTACAAATGTACACTATTACTTGCTCCAAAAATAAAATGTAATGATAATGATAAGATTTTGTAACAACAACTATTGTCTCTATCAGCGTTCCCAAATTAAATTCATTAGAGACCCTTTGTACACTAGGTATCATTAATTAAGGAAAAATAAAAAAAAAAAACTAACGATTACTCAAAAAGTTTTATGTAAGATTTAATGAACCACAATATAGAGCATATAGTAAGGTATAAAATAACATAAAACGAAATCTCCCGACAATTATGGTCTCGGAGAAATTAGCACATATGTATAAAATGAACAAATCGGATGTGTCAGTTTGGTATAGGAAAATTACCTTCAGTGTATTTTGAACAGCATATAACAGAACTAAATTAATTCTTGCGATTCTTGGACAAAATGCATTTAAATTCTAAGTTTAACATATCTAAAACTCAGCTACTATTTTATCTTTTTTTATGACGCGAATATAAATATAATTAACAAAACAATAATTTCTTAATTTTTGTTATTCTTCAAAGATAGGTCTTTTATTTCAATTTAATAGAAATATCATAAACTGGACCTACCTTTTCTCCCGGGCGTGACTGTTCGCCACGTACGTTTAACTGGAAGCAAAATAAGTAATCCACATAATAAAGAGTCCATACTCTTTGATTATATTTAAATATCGCATTAATAAACTGGTTACAAAATTTGTTATTTACAGGATTTCATTTTTATAGATTGCATATCTGTCATTTGCCGCTTCCGACGGGAGCGTCCTTCACCTCTCCTACTACTAACTACTAAGAACATATTGTGAATTAGAGTTTCAGATAGCAGTGCTTCCTTTCACTTTGCATCTGGTGAAGACCATCAGTAAAACAATGAGTAGTGTGGACAAAATAGGACGAAAGTATTAAGTGGCCGCCATCAGTCGACGAAGAAGGTGAGTGTCTGGTGGAAGGTCCAAATCAATGAATTGTTAAGGCCAGTATGAGTAAAAAATGTTAAGGATGGAGAATGTCAGATGGATATTTGTGTTTTTCTCTTGAAAATGGAGAACATCTAAAAGAGTTGATGCAGTTGCTAGGATGATACGGTGGATATACCAATTTGGAATGAACTAAAGCGCGTTGATAATGTGCGCTTTGTTTTGAAGAACTTGGATATGTTGAAGGTGAGTTTTGGCTGCGTGGCCCAGGACAGGACTAGCATAGAGTAATTCTGGTCGAAGAATATATAAGAGGAGTTTCTTTGAAGTCGCCATATGATTTCTTCTGCAAAGAAGTGGGCACATAGTTGCAAGCCTAATATTAATTTTTTGCACAGCTTCCGTGAGATGTATCTGAAAAGCCACTTTTTTTTAAAAAAAAATCCAGAATGACTCTTAGGTGTTTAGCTTCGTCAATCCAGTCGATTTCTTCATCAAACAGAAGAGGTCTTGGTGGTGTGAAATTTTTTTGTCCTTTACAAAAAATTATTGCTTTTGATTTTTCAATATTAACTGCAATCTTCCAAAGATTGAGCCAATTTTCTAGAAGGTTGAGGTAATGTTGAAGAAGGAGCCCGACAATTGTAACTGTTGAAGTTTGAGTCATAATTGCTGTATCATCTGCGAAAACAGCTATGATAATTTGTGGGTCATAAGGAATATCGTTCCACTTAATAAGTTTGTAGATAAGTCTCCGGTGCCATAGCATATCAAAAGCTTTCGCAATGTCCAGGAATGGCTCCAGTAGGGAATTTACAATTGAAACCGTCAGTAGTATAGTTGATGACACGAAGCAGCTGGTGATTAGTAGCATATAGATGACGGAAGCCAAACTGTTCTGGAATGTAGGAGCTCTGTAGAATAATTTGACTTAAATGAGAATA